AAATATACATTTTTGGTAGGTACAAATATTACTCTATTAGAGGTAATCTTGCTCGAAATACTATCAGGCATTGAATTTGGACACTTCTTTTAGTAAGTATTCAAATAGTAATTTGTCACGTTATAAAGGACTAATATTTTTTATAACCTAACCCTTTTGGTTATATATATATATATATACTGCTTCCAGTCTTAATTATAAGACCTCATTTGTAGACTATAAATGAGGTATTATAATTAGGATTACAAACGAGGTCTTATAATTAGCACTGGAAGTAGTATGTGTGTGTGTGGTTGCTCAAACTATATACACAAGTGACCAGACCCTACAGTTTAATACTCTCATCTCCTAAATGATATTATTGGCTATTGCGCACACACACACACACATACATATATATATATATATATAATATCGATCATACAAAAGACCATCTGGAAGCATGTGGACAGATAATACGTCACTTTCTTGGTAGCTCTCTCACTTGGTTGCCACTCTCCAGTACATTTTTTTGTGCAGCATCATGTTCATAATAGAGATGAGATGAGAAATCATCCAAATCTACTTTATCAAGATTTAAAGTTTTTTTTTTAACTTATTAAACAATAAATTCATTTTCAAAAACGATTATTCAAAAATTGACTCCAAATTATTGGACATCGATTAAAATAGAAGATATTAAAATTTTAAGAATAAAATAAAATAAAATCATTTTAATTTAATTAGACTATAGTCCAGACAAGGAATAAACTCTCTAGTGTTCGACACTACACAACAATAACAACAAAAAACATTATCTTACTAAGTCGATGTTTCTCGTAATGTTATTATGATTTATCAACAACCAAATTTTTTTTTGGAATAAATTATTAATCAGAAGGCCCCGGCCCATTTAATAAATTCATTCAATGTCTTTCCGGTTCTCTTTTACCCCTTCTCAGAGAATTGCATATTGCCTCATCTATATATCCTTTTTATTAGCACCTCCAATAACCTACTTTGTGTATATATTTGAACCACCTCAGGTGGTTTTCCTTTTTTTTTTTTTAATCATTTTCACTTGAATAGACACCACTCTAATTTTTTCTTGTGTATATATGTTCAACAATATGATATAGTGCTAAATCTGTCTTGGAAGTTGTCTTGAATTCCAACACCTACCCCCTTGAATGTTCCAAATCATATACGCCCATTCTTTGAACTTCAGATCACAGAACTATACCTAACTAGATGAATTATGCCATCATATACATATGAAAAAGAAAAGAACAAAGTCATCAGTGGGGGAAGAGCTACCTAGCCAGCAAGGCAGCTAAGAAGCTCATTTAATGGAGAGAATGGACTCTCAACAACAAAATCGGTGACTAATGCCATTGAACTATATCTAACCTCGAAACTACTCAAATTAATAACAGCAAAATCAGGCATCATGCAACCTCAAGAAGGTCATTTGTTGGTGATAATCAAAAATTAGCTAAGCAACTTGCTTTTTCTTTGCTATATATAGCAGTGCCATTCTGCAGCTATACTACCACTCACTCAAAGCTTTTTCTCTTTGCTTAATTTGCCACATATTTATCTTCAAGTGTGTGGCATTTATTAGTGAGTTTCAGAAAATGAAGAAAGCTGTTAGCTTCACTTTGCTTTGTGCTTTGTTTCTTCTTGTCAGCTTCTCTTCCTTTTCTTCTGCAGCAAATGACTTTCCAGGTGCCTGCTTCTATATATTCTCTCTTTATTAGTTTTTCTGCTATAACAATTTTGGTAATTGGGTTCTGACACTTGTTATTTACATCTTATATAGAAGAAACCAAGTGAGTTTTAGAATACACTAAATTCAACCAAAAGTTGCGAATGGAGAATCTTAATTCACTTCAATTTTGTCTTTAGGAATAAATATGTCCCATAAATTTTACAGTTCCCAGTTAATCTGTTTCGTTGATATACATATATATTTATTTATTTATTTTTCTATTTCATGGGGATAATATGTTTGCATCATTATCTATTGATTAGTTAGACTAACTGAAATTCTGCACAACTGTTTCTGCAGGGAATGAAGTAAAAAGTCATGAAGACGAGGAAAAGTTCAAGTTTATTCCACATCATAAGCCATTCTTCAAGAAGCCATTTTTCAAGATCCCACCAAAAGTTCCATTGAAGCCATTCCCAGTTGTTGGAAAACCAATTCCAGTGAATGATGAGAAGCCATTGCCAATTCCTGGATTCAAGAAGCCTTTCCCCAAGCCATTCCCATTTGTGAAGAAGCCATTTCCCAAACCATTTATTCCAAAGCCAATTCCTTTTGTGAAGAAGCCGTTTCCCAAGCCTCTTCCAAAGCCGATTCCTTTTGTGAAGAAGCCGTTTCCCAAGCCTTTTCCAAAGCCAATTCCATTTGAGAAGAAACCATTTCCCAAGCCTTTCATTCCAAAGCCAATTCCTGTCCATGATGAGAAGCCTTTGCCAATCCCTGGATTCAAAAAGCCATTCCCTAAGCCTTTCGTTAAGCCAATTCCTTTCTTTAAGAAGCCTTTCCCATTCCCCAAAAAGCCCTTCTTCCCTCCAGTTAATCCTTGAGACACACCATGAATATTCCTAAAGCCTAATTAAAACATATCCTTCCATATAATTGGAAATAAAAGAAGAAGAAAACAGGCACTACATGTCCATTATATCTTTTAAGATTGATTCACCTGAATTTTCAGAATTAATAGTATATCTATCTCTGCTGTATGTGTATTGTATTTGCATTATGAAGAGTATTGCTGTTATAAATAAAGCTTCCAAGAGCTATATATGTTATGTACACAGAAATCCATTAATTAAATATGTCATCATTGTTGGTTCTTTCTCACTCTCTCTCTCTCTCTCTCTATATATATATATACACTCCTATATATATTTATTATTAATAAATACGATCCCTAAGGCTTTGCTTAATAGTTAGGTGCTTTAAATTAAATATTGTGGGCGAAGCAAAGAATTAATAAGGGCATGCGCAGCAAGAAGAAGAACGGCCCTACTTGCACGCAGTGAATTAACCTGGGCATATATGTAGATGAAAAACCCAGAATTTATTGAAGTAAATATCTAGTACTTTCGAAGACTGACAAGAAAAATCTAACTGAAATATCAAAAAGCACCAGCAAAAATGAGACCAAGGTTAAAAATAAAACAAACCCGAAGGCATTTTCTAATGATTTAATTAATTTTAATCTCCTACTACAGAAAACTATATGCAAAAAAAAGTAAACTTTCATAACATAATATATAATCTTTATAATTATAACTCTCTGAAGCCACATCGTCATCCCCAGGCCAACATCTTTAAAGGCATTTTAAACACAGTGCAACACATACACCCGACAATAATGAAATTTAATTTACCCGAAACTGAATAAAAATTGCACACTGGCTTTCCATTTACTATGGGGAAAACTCAACTATACAATGTGTGCCAGAAACAAGCTTCTCTCTAGAAGTTAATTTTCATTTTTATTTGCACTTCCAGAGGACTCTATAGGCGAACAATTCTTCTCCACCCAGTGTTTTATCAACACTTCTTTAAGAATCATTTATTAATTTATGTTCTCATTTAAACAAAATCTAGATTTAATGTAGTGATTGTCATATGCTACCAAATGATACGGAGTAAGATTGTTTTGACTTTTGAGCAAGGAGATAGTGAAGAAAAGCATTTTCATAATATAATTATGTATGTTATGAGTATTTTTATGATTCCCCACATATTTGATAATATTTTCATATATTTCCAAGAGTTATTTGGGGAGTCATCATGGCACTTTATGTGAAAATTATGAAATTATCAAGAAATATTTGAGCCTGGATTTTTAGGAGATCATGATAATGACAATATAATTTAGTGAACTATTGGCTTAATATGGACATAAACTAGCTGATTAAATTAAAGAGGGGTAGGGAATCAAAGCAAAATCCCTACAGAGAAATTGCATTATGTATGGTGCTATTGCTTTATGATTAATTAAGTTCATAATAATTACCGACAAGCTATTAATTGAGATGATAAGTAGTTTTATTCCAATAAAAAGAAAAATACAAGTCTAAATTTCAAAAAATACACTTATTTAGAAGGTTTTAACCTTAACATTCTTGACTTGATAATATTAGTATTAAATCTAAAATGACTTGAGATACTCTTGGTTATACCAAAAAAAAAAAGGTAGTTCATGATAGCTTTAGTTTAAGAGGAAATTAACAATACAAGACTAAACAAGGATAAACCCAACATTAAAAGTATCAAACTACAGGGAAAAGGGAGTAGATTCACCATTTATTTATGTTTAAACGTTTAATGAGGTAAACATATATAGACTTTCATACAAATCTTCAATTTTTTTTTCATATGAAACTTGCGATCAATCGACCGACCAGATGTCACATGATTTAAGATCAAGACTCAAGAGGTGATGACGAGGATCATGTGAAATTCTAGTTAGACATTAAAAAGTTTCTAACAAAAGTATCCAATATCTGAAACTTTTCCCAATCCTGCACTCTCTTACGGAAGGCTTCATACTTTAATCAATATAAGTGGCATTTAAATTCCAGCAAGTTTCTTATTATAACCACCCACATTGATATATGCATGTTTGGACATTAGATCACAGAAGACAGAACTGTACGTAATCAGATACCAAAAGAAAAACAACAAACTCATGAATAAGCAAGCTACCAAACCCAGCTAACTAACAAGCTCATTTAATAATGGAGAAAATGAAATATCAACGAAAACTTCGGTGACTATATAATATATATATAAACAAATTCTCAACAAACGAATGGTCTGTAAACCTGTAATCTCAGACTATACAATTAATAACAGTAAAATCAGACCCCATGAAACTGCCTCAACAAGCCAAGTGATGTGTTATTAGTGATTCATCCAAAGCTAATCTGGCTTCCTATATATAGAGCAGTGCGATTCTGCGACTATATAGTATCAAATAAAGCCTTTAACTTCTTTGCCATATATATATATATATATATATATATATATATATATTGAAGATTATATTGTGGCATTATTATTGGTGTAATCAGAGTCTCTCATGAAGAAGAAGAGTTCCACAATGGATTGCCTTCTTTTGCGCTTCTTGGTGCCTTTGTTTCTTCTTGTCTCCTTCTCTTCCTCTTATTCTTCTGCAGATGAAGCCTTTTCAGGTAACTGGTCTTTCTGTTCTCACCATATATATAATAATAAGTTGAAGCTCAACGTAAACATATTCATGTGTTTTCATTGCAGAATTTTGCAGTAATATAAAAACATTTAAGTCCTTTACGTGAACTTCATTGAGACTTTATTTGGTGTCGCGAATTGTGTTTCGTCCTGTGTACGAAAGAAAGAGAGTTGGTTTTAAGTCTTTTATTTATTTTTTTTTTAATTTTACTACCAACAAAGAAGGGGGAAAAGTAGTTTTAATTAATGCAAATTAAAGCAAAATAAAGAGATACAATCAATGCAGTTTTGACGAAGAAACTTTAGCTGAAAATCATTAATTGAAAAAATAAAGAGATATAATCAATGCAGTTTTGACGAAGAGTAGTATATACATGTTTGGTGCATGGTCTTTTCAGTGTTTTGGAACTGATTAATATATAAGGTTCTAAATTTCACGAAGATAATAATTGGCTAATTAATTACTGTAACAGTATGATCCTGTTGATCAAGACTGACCGAAAATTGTGCATAATTATATTTTTCTCTCAGGTGATGAAGTCAACGCCCTTGGAAATGAAGACTTGACAAGAACAACGTTGAAGAAGGGTGAGAATGAGGAAGAGAAGTTCAAGTTTATTCCACATCACAAGCCATTCTTCAAGAAGCCATTCTTCAAGATCCCTCCAAAAGTCCCACTGAAGCCATTCCCAGTTGTTGGAAAACCAATTCCAGTCAATGATGAGAAGCCATTGCCAATTCCCGGATTCAAAAAGCCTTTCCCTAAGCCTTTCCCATTTGTGAAGAAGCCAATCCCTAAGCCTTTCATTCCAAAGCCAATTCCCTTTGTGGAAAAACCATTTCCCAAGCCTCTTCCAAAGCCAATTCCCTTTGAAAAGAAACCATTTCCCAAGCCTCTTCCAAAGCCAATTCCCTTTGAAAAGAAACCATTTCCCAAGCCTCTTCCAAAGCCAATTCCCTTGGAGGAGAAACCATTTCCCAAGCCTCTTCCAAAGCCAATTCCATTTGAGAAGAAACCATTTCCCAAGCCTTTCATTCCGAAGCCAATCCCAGTTGATGATGAGAAGCCATTGCCAATTCCTGGGTTCAAGAAACCCTTTCCAAAGCCTTTCCCTAAGCCTTTCATTCCAAAGCCAGTTCCTTTTGTGAAGAAGCCAATTCCTATTGTGGAGAAACCATTTCCCAAGCCAATTCCATTGGTGAAGAAGCCATTTCCAAAGCCTTTTCCATTCCCAAAAAAGCCCTTCTTCCCACCAGTGAATCCTTGAAACATAAACTTTTCTAAAACCCTAATTACATTATATCCTTCCATATTACTGAAACAAAAACTATCCGTGCCTTGTGTTGAAGTTAAATAATTAATTAATCCTCTCCTTTCTGGTTCTATCTCAGGATCATCTGTTACTATTTCATCTGAATTTGCAGAAATATTAGCTTATGCATCTCCAGTTTGTTTTGTATTTGCCTTTTATATATGCTGCTATAAATTAAATAAAGCTTATAAATTAAAGCAGCAATTACATTACGTGTATGTCACAAAAATCCATATTAATTGGATGTAGTCCTTGTTAATTAGTTCTGTGTGTGTGTGTGTGTGTGTGTTTTTTTTTTTTTTTTTTTTTCCTTTTTCTTAGATTTTATTGTCAGTAAGTTCTTACTTGACAGTTAGATACATATATAAAGTTGCATAATCAAAATCACCCCCGAAACAAAGATTTAATTGAGCAGCAATAACAACAAGAAGAGCACATTTTCTTTCACAGAATAAGTGATGGAGATTAATTAACTCGGACAGTTATAGATGAAAACCCTAAATTGTAAAGTTATTGAAGTAAATTAACATTGAGCATTTTCCCCCCCAAATGTCCGTATTGAACACTTTCAAATTAACTGGTAAGAAAGCATAACAATTAGATCAGTAATATATAGCATAGTAACTAGATTGACACAACATAAACAATTGTCGTTACAATTTAATTAATCAGATAATTATTAAGTGCGTACTGGTATTTGAATCCCCAAGCGAATAAATGGATTGTCTCTTTGGGGCAGAACCATGTTTAGCTCCACATAATCACGTGGTTAATTCTAAACATGCTCATAGTAGAATCCAAGGTTTCAGTTCAATTTTATGGCCCAATAATGTGAAAAGAAGAACAAAAAACATGCGATGCCGATGCGCACCATTTTTTTTTTCTGTATAACTCAGAGTGTCTTCAATTCATTTTGGGTTTGAGACTAATCTCCATCAGATTGGGAGCATTAGGTTAAAAACCCTTCCAATAATTACGCTTCTCGGGAGCCTATGTGTACCATTTATTATACGGTTCCATTATCTTTTTCTGTGGTGAACTCCTCCGATCCCTCCATTTCATATTGCTATATAAGACAACTTTTTAAGAACTAGCTAGATATTTTCTTAAAAATAAAATTTATCGATGAACTTATTTCAAAATTGCCTACAATGATGAAATGATAACCAAGTCAAGTGTAAGTGTGTTTCTGGATAAATTAAGATTTCAAATTTTATTTAATGGATTTCAATTCATATGCACAATTTTGCCAAAAGAAAATCTTACGATGTGAATGGAGGGACGAGGGAGTATTATAAACTCAGAGTAGTCCAGGTTTCTTTTAATTTCCTGACGGGTAAGTTAAAACTTTTATATCGATCATTAAATGGAGGAAAAAAACCGGTGATTATTATCTGATCAACGATAAAATCGGTGCTAATATATATTATGATTGATATCTATAATCACACCCTCAACTGATAAACAGGACTTAATTAGACCTATACCCCAGCTTAGGTTATCCAATAAAAGTAAAAATACATTTAATTTAATGTTTAAACAAACTCAAAATAAATTTTATTTTATGATAATAACAATAAATTCAAAATTTTGAATCTTATAATGAAAGACAAAGGGACTAATAAAACATAAATATATACAATTCAAAAATTATGTTTTCAGTCATTTATCATTTCTTTATTATGGTGGTCCACGTCATTCTCCCTTTAATATGTTTAAGTTTGGTTCGACTCATGAGGTTCATGGGTATGCGATAATGGTTGAGTTGCTAAGGAGAAGATGAATTAGGACGTGTTTAGAACAGCTTATAAGTAGTTTTTTAATAGTGATTCATAGAATACCAGACAAGTATGTGAGAGGAGTTTTATCTCAACTTACGTAAAATATGGTAACAGGAAATTTTGTAAGCCCTCCCAAATAGGCCCGAAGTGACATTGGTTTCGTTTTGTTCCTAAAAATGACTTTCATTAATTAAAAACGAGACCCTGTGATTATTATTTTCCAATTCAGGCACCTAAAAGCTTTTTTTTTTTTTTTTGAGTTACAAAGGCAAGCTAAAGCTTGGAAAGACCAAAAATAAATGGTACTAGTCAATAGGAATGTCTCCTTCAAACCCATCTCTTGCATTTGTGAGAGTTCTTGATCTACAGCATGGTGGGACCTCGCATATGTTTTTTTTTTTTAGTAGAAAACTGAAATTCATTAAAAAAGAGGCAACTTACAACTTACAAGTAAAAGTTCTAGGCTCCTTCCTCAAAAGCCACCTCAGGATTTCCAGGAGGAGGTTGATCAATGAGGCAAAAGGCACCTTCCATTTTATGGGAGTTTTTGCCCAAATAATAAGCTAATCCTATTTCTTCCCTGTTAATTTACCTAATATCAACCTACCAGTCCCGATGAATCAGTAACCTAGCTTCATCAATCAAATCTTTTTTTCTTTTGGGTGAAAAGGACAAGCTAGGCTTGAAGGAGAAAATTAAAATCCTAAAAAACTCATGCAGTCGCTGTAGTAGATCTTCCAGTAGTTGTGGCCTCTTTTTCCTCCAATAATATAGCCAGGCATTCAGTCGGAGCCTCTGGAATCAAAACTGTATTAGTATAGTCACTATGACCTGTCTTAGCCAAAAAATCAGCGCACCCCATGATGGTCCTAGTAGTGTGATGGACCGTCACTTCCCCGTCTCCAAAAACCAAGTCCCTTATGTCATTTATAACCAGTTTAAGTAGATTATCTGCTATACACGTGCGCATGATAAGGTTGTATGCCTCTAAAGAGTCAGAATAGACCATGATTTTGGTATACCTGAGCTGTTTGGCCACTTCCAGGCCTGTTCGGATAGCTGCTAGTTCTGCTTCAATGATCGAAGAGCATCCTAAACATTTCCTGAAACCCATCAACCAATCTGCTTCAGAGTTCCTGATTAAACCGCCACATGCTGCACTATTTTGTTGTTTGACTGACTCGTCCACATCAACCCGAATTGCATCCTATGGTGGTGGAGTCCATCTTCTCTCCTGTACTACAGAAATGTTGAACACTTGATGGCGAAGCTTATTATTAGTGGAGCACTCCATAAGTAAATTGAAACACCTATGAAGTAATTCCCTTATACTCATACTCGTGCCATCAAACACAAAAGAGCATCTTGAAGTCCAAAGTAGCCAACACCCAGACTAAAAGTCTTAGTCCAAGAATGTTGACCAAATCGTCCTCGTGCTGGGTTATTCCATGAATTCCATGCTAGCCAAACCTGCAAATTACCAGAAAAGAATCTAGAAAGCATGTTAGGTTTTAAAATATTAGTCCACAGCTCTCTTGCTCTCAAACAGTCTCTAAGAGTATGTATAACACTCTCTTCCCTCCCACATTCAAACGGACATTGACTAGAATTTGTAAGTCCTCTCTTGGCTCTAAGTGCATTAGTAAGGATTCTCTCATGAGAGACTTGCCACATGAAAAATTTGACTTTTTCAGGAACCTGCCACTTCCATAATTGGCTCCAAAAGCTTCTCTCGGTCCCTTCTCTATACCCCCTTATAAAGTCATAAGCTGATTTAATTGAAAAGCACCCATCTATTGAAGCTCTCGAAGTGAAATAGTCATTAACATTAGAAGCAGGAGGAGGTATTTGGATAATTCTGGTAATAATCCAAGAGGGTAGAATGTCTCTCCAACCATCTACCTTCCAACGCCCATCCTCTGATACGTGATCAATCACTTTATCCATAGAATTAATTCTATGAGAATGATGCACATAATAGATAAGTGGTCGATCCAGTGGAAGCCATTTATCCCACCAAAAGCTAGTATCATGTCCATTGTTGAGTCTCTTTCCTATCTGTTGAATGAAAGTCTCCCACACCGAGGTAATGGCATGCCAAGTTCTTGAAGAATTTCTTTTTTTATTGATGCTTGGCATAAGATCATCATCACACCTATACTTCGACTTCAAGCATTGGACCCAAAGAGCATTTGGTTTGGTTAGCATGTCCCAATAAAGCTTCATAATGAAAGCTTTATTCTATGCTACTAGGTTTTTAAAGCCTAGACCGCTCTCTTGCTTGCTCATAGTCACTTTATCCCAAGAGATGAGGTGCATTTTCCTTTTTCCTTCATCCTGAGACCAAAGGAACTTCCGACTAATTTTCTCTATTTCAGCAATTGTGCTAAGAGGAAGGAGCAAGGACTGCATTTGATAACTTGGTAATGCGGCTAGAACCGATTTAATTAACACAGATCGACTAGCCACATTAAGAACCTTTTGCTTCCACATTGATAGTTTCTTATATATCTTGTTCACAATAGGCTTGAAAGTAGACTTGGTAACTTTGCAATGAAGAAGGGGTACTCCTAGATATTTACCCAAGTCTGCTATAACACTAACCCCAAGCACTTGACTGAGTTCCCTTGCTATATTAAAATGAACATTCCTAGACCAAAACATTTTGGACTTGTCAAGATTCACCCTATGTCCAGAAACAGCACAAAAGTTCCTTATCACTTCTCGAATTTCTGTCATCTGCTCTTTAGAGGCCTCAGCGAACAATAAAAGGTCATTTGTGAAGAATAAGTGAGAAAAGCTAGGCCTATTCTTTCGAAACTTCAGAGGCTTCCATCGTTTTGCTACACATTCTTCTCTGATAAGGTGGCCAAGTCTTTCCATGCACAGGACAAATATGTATGGGCTTAGGGAATCACCTTGATGAATGCCCCGGGTCGGATTAAAAGCCGGGCCTTCCTCTCCATTCCATAGGACCGCTATAGAAGAAGTAGCAATACAAGCCATAATGAGTTCTGAGCTGGTCACCAAACTGTAAGCATTTTAGAGTATCTCAAATGAAACCCCAATCAAGTCGATCATAGGCCTTTTTCATGTCCACTTTGATTGCCACATAACTCTTCTTCCTACCTTTACTCCTCATAAAGTGCATTATTTCTTAAGCAATCACAATATTGTCGTAGCTAGACCGATTAGCAATAAAGCTAGCTTGTTCCTGATTAACCAACTTTTCCATTACTCCTCTCAACCTATTCGCTAGGATTTTAGTGACAATTTTGAAGCTCACATTGCAGAGGGAGATCGGTCTTAGCTCCTTAAGGGAGGAGGGGTTATCCACCTTCAGGATTAAAACTATCCTGGTTTGGTTAACCTCTTTGATCTTATGGGGCATTATGAAGAAATCTTCGATCGTGCTACACACCTTATCACCGATCACGTTCCATTGTGTTTGAAAGAAATGTGCTTGTAGTCCGTCAGGACC